CCTGAAAGTGCACAGTGTGTCATAAATGATATTATAATTCACCGTCTGTTCAGTTTCCTTTCCATTTTTTTTCTCTCAATTTCTTAATATATGTGCATTAGAAAAGTCTCCTTAATTAACTTGTTTGCATAATGCAACACTGAACCTTCAGGTTAATGCAGCCATATTGAGCTTCTGCATCACGTCATACAGTTTAATCAATATCGTTATCAATATTACAATAAGAATGTTTGGCTTCTGATTCTTAAAGGGAAAATGTCTTGAAACTATAGAAGATGTGTGTGAGCCAAAGATTTATTGGCTTTACATGTACTATTATGCAATGTTTATGCTCTGTGCTCTGTTTAGGACATCCAGTGATACATAGAACTAATGGATCGCAGTTCAAGGCCATCATGATTCCCATGCATAAAATCACCAGCAGGGGGCGAAAGGTCTCCAGTGTAAACAAAGGCAAAACAGCTGCTGTATGTTGGTTAGTTCCATAGTAGATAATTTGAAGGCTAAAATGAATGGAACATACCCTTTTCCACTTAATGGGCTTAATTTTTCCATTTTAGCCTGAACAGGATCCGTTTAATAACAACTCTCCAGAAATATCCATCTAATTCAAGGAAAAAGGTGAAATGGGCATTCATATGTTCTCAGTAGTCTCAAGGTAACAAATGGATGTTAAAAACAGCACGCCAGGTTCCAGGTAATTAATGGCCTGCTGCCCTTTTATCTGGGAAAGATTAGGCAAAATCATGATGCCAAAGTAGAAAGTTAATCATTTGTCATTACTTGAAAGACATTTGGTCAAAGGCCGTCCAATGGAAAAACATGATCGTTCAGAAATAATAACAAAGCTATTATATGCAGGTTACTAATATCCGCTACCCCAAAATGGGCAGCCTGTTGGCTTGCTGCAAAACGATCTCTTTGTGAGTGAAATGAAGAAACATATTGATGATTGATGAGTTTATTTTTATTAACTTCAGAACAAGATCCAAGCATTTTATGGAAGACGCTCAAGGGGTGTGTAAGGAACAAATTGATTGCTTTTACTGCAAAATACATAAACATAGAAACCAAAAGTTTCACAAACTGAGAAGAAACTTCTCAGAACTCTTATGCAAAGAGCTTAATGATCTACTTATGCTTAAGGCTAATTTCCTAATACTGAGAAGTAGATAAAATTATTATCTAAGCAGCGCACAGCCTAGACATTTACTTGCTCTTAAATTAAGGAGCAAGAACTTGGACAAAACATTGCTAATTTTCATACACTGGAAGACTTGGTATATTCAAATGTACCTGTTAAACAAGTGTCTCACAAATTCAATCCAACAGTAACAGACGCTATTTTAGTACAGAGAACTGCTGAGAAACACAAAATACAATTAAATTGGCACACACAGTGTCCCATTTTTCACAATTTCAATCTCAAATGATCTAAACAACCAATAAATTTCAATCAATGAAGCAGCAATGGAGAACACACTTTTGGTGATATATTTAGCACTATGGGCCTTCAGTCCTGTCAGGACATCCAGAAAACATTTAAGCTTCCGGGCACTTCTTTCACTTTCTATCTTCAGTTTCGTACAGTAATGAGAACTACATCTCTTCCAACTCATCCTTTATACATTTATTTAACCAAATCAGGCAGATCCATGTCCACTAAGTATATCTCTTTTGCAAATTTTTTAATGAGCCCTTCTCCTGTGAAAAACTATGGTTAGCAAACATTGTAGGACCATTCCTGCATATGGTGTGGGAGTGTCCAGGGGTTGCAGCCTTTTGGAAAGATGTTGTACATACACTCTCCTGTATTTTAGAGACAACAGTACTTTACGTACCAAATACGCTCCTATTCAGTCTGTCAGGCAGAAACCCATTTGTCTGTCAGGCCTCACTGCAGCCAAATGTCTTATTGCTTACAGATGGAAAAATCCTAATTTTCTAACAAAACAAAAATGGCTTCTTGATTTGCTTGACATTACCAACATGGAAGAGTGGTTCTCCCAAGTGTATCAAGTAAAAAAAATATAAATAAATAAATAAATAATTTTAGAAAACACCATCTTTCAATGGAATGAAACAATAGCAAAACTTTAATTATTGCTTTAACTTGTATACTACCATGTGGTGGGCTGTGACAGTGGGCTGAGGTTGGGCTACACTTTATGTTATGCTCTTTTCAAATGTGTATACAGTATTTTATTTATTTGACTGTTATGTTCCTTTATAAGTATTTTTGGGTGACTCATTTGACTATTTCAAAAATGATTCATAATTATACAGGAAGGCTAAATTAGAGAGGAGCTAGTGTAAATTTGGATTATATCTTCTGTGTTATCAGTCAGTAACATTTAGACCAATTCCCTAGTCATTAGCATCAATAATCATAGTGCAGTTTGCCATTAAGCAACTGTCAAGTAAAATACCATACAACAAAATGGATATATACCTTATATCTTTGAGACAGATACAACATAAGATGTAATTACTCATCCTCAATATAAAATGTTAAACTAACACAGCATATCCCCTGCAGCTCTCTGCAAACACAGGTTTAACGGTGGGGAGGTAATGGGTTCAGGGAAAAGTCATTATGGCTCTTGGACAAATACAGACTGGGCTACAGTTTTCATATGATTAGGTCTCAAAGAGTACATCTATATCTAAGCAACACTAAGGAATGAGGAATGAGCATCTTATTCTCCAAATGGACATTTGATAATAAAATGCAATAGACTTAATGAAAATCCTGCATTATGCCTCAAGTAAAATACTATGCAAAATAGTGTTTCTGGATATGATTTTGGCACTAAGGAAAACACTTGATAACCTGCTCATTCCTGATATACTATGATTATAATGTAGTATTATTATATGTATCAACAACATTCAACAATGTTTCTATTCATTTATACTGATCTTTTTAAATTACTATACTTTTGATGCTAGTTTTAGTATTGATTAGTATTTTGGTATTTTACCATGCTTATGCAGTACACATCAATAATAGTACTTGGATACTGTAAAATACTTCAAGTGGCTTTAGTGGCTAGTGTATAAAAATAGACTAAATGAACGTGTTTGGATTAATGTATCAACAACGTAAAAACTTTACAAAGCTTTACAAACACAGTAAAGCTCTATTCCAGGGTGTCCAAACTTTTTTTCGTCAAGGGCCACATTTCTAAACACAGATGAAGCAGAGGGCCGATCGAGGACCGTAGACTGGTGCTCAGTACAGGGAATAATTGAAATATGTGTCTGTTTATCATGTTAGAATCAGTCTTTATTCATGCTAAAATCCTTAAACTACACACGAAATATTAAATATTTGCTTTATCAAGGTAGATTTTCAAAAAACTTGCAGCAAAAAATTACTTTTTAATTGATGCAAGGTCATTTGGGCCAATTTACCTGGAAGCCTGAGGGCCAAGAAAAATGTGTCCGAGGGCCGCATTTGGCCCCCGGGCCATAGTTTGGACATGCCTGCTCTATTCTATTATGACATAGGGAGATAATATTTGTGCATAGTTAGCATTGCAGATTCATGGGAATTAATTAAAATCATCCTGGCACAACCTTTTTTGGACTCCAATTTTAAAAAAAAAAAAAAAAAAAAAAGGTATTCCAAGAAACCTTATCTAATCATGAGAACAGTAACCATGGAGTTAGCCACTTCATGTTTATTTTAAAGATGTTTTTGTTCAAAATAAGTGTCCGGATCAGTGAATAGTGCTGCTGTCACGTCTGAACTGAGCTCCCTAAGCCCAGACTTCCACTGAGTCATGTCTGTGTTCCGTCTGAGCTGACAGATGTGTTCCCCAAACAAGGATATGAAGAGGCTGTGTCTGTGAAGGCCCTATCAAACAGTGTGGAGGAACTCACGTGTGCCAAACCTACTCAAGTCACCGTAGTATGAATTACAATCACATCTGCTGCACTCAAAAAGAAAATGATACTTCAAACTACTGCAGAAAGTTACTACTGCGTGATACTGCGTGTAAACTCTGAGTATTATTAATGCCTGGGTTTCAGATTACATTCAGCAGTCCTTTAATATTAAATGGAGATGGAGCAGGTAAAATGATCCTGCTTTTCTTATTAATAAGGATTTTTGCCCCAGTCTAAACAAGCTGAAAGGAAAACTGGTATAGTAGTAGTTGTTTTATTAGCACTAAAGGTGTACCTGCTTGTCTCCATGGAGATGGTTTTGTTAGTACTGGAATGTTACAAAGTATGACATTATACACATCTAAATAGTGTACTTTAATATTATTGTTTTTTTTGTTTTTTTTTTTTTGTTTTTTTTGCTCAAACATTTCCAAAAATGTCAAAAACCATGCCTTCTCATGATGAGTGAGTTTGCCTCTCATGTCTGACCTGTGAAACTTGACCTGCTGGCAATATTGAGCCAAATTTAATGCTATACTGTGAAACATTTTGGGCAAAGCATTAACATTTTCACAGAGACTAGCTGGTGGCAGGTCCTCTAACACATCTGTTTAAGATTCTAAGATTGCACTTGTAAATTTGCATTAGTTCAATATAGGTAAAGAATTCTTGTCCGGCTGTTGCTCTAATCAGTCACACTACCAGCTTTGGTTGTTAAATCATTGCACACTTCTAGGTAAGTGCAAATTACACCTGAAGTGGACCATTACCAAAGTAGATCTCTTCTCTGAAAGTGTCACGCCTGATCAGGAAAAGTTAGTGGCAGTTTAGTGATTAAAGCAACAACATAGTTCACTGGATCCATCAACTTAAAGCCATCTGTGCAGCCAGAGCTAAACTGAATGTGGTCTTTTATTTTTGGGCACCCAAGCTGGACCAGTGTTTCCATGTGTCACTTCTAGACAAGGTAACAGATTTACATCTGATTTTAATGGTTTGTCAGGTACAGTATACAAAAGACAATTAATGTACATGTTGCCCAAAATGAAGCCGAAAGGGGAAGAAAGAGTATGACTTTCATCCTTACAAGAGAATTCACCAGCAAAAACAAGTTGAAATGTTTTATTCAGCATATTGACACAGATGACGTTCATACTGGAGATTGCTCTTTGGAAGATCTGAAATGCTTGAGCAGTTATTATTGTTCTTAACATTTTTATTAAAGAAACTTTTATTATTCAACTGTACATTTCGCAATGTCATTGTTGTACTTTTTCTGGAACCATTTCTCGTATAAATTCATGAACACTCCCCATTTGGAATGCAAATCTATTGATTGTAACTGCAAAGAACATTCACAGAAGGACAGCACTTTCATTCTGTGCCATGTACAAGTTGAAATGATCTTTGATTTGTGTAAATGAATCCCCTAAAACTGAAGCATAACATAACAGATACATGTAAAAATAAAGCAATCATGAGATAAATAATAATACAACTGTTGTTTACTAAGGTTACAGTATTTAAAAAGCCTCTATGTAAAAATGCAAGTACTAACAATAAAGATATACTTGTTCCCTGATTGTTGATTCTATGCAGCTCACAATCAGAAGTCTCGACAGCAGATGCATCTCTTTACTTCATCTTTCCAGTCTGGAGTTGTTTCCCACACTCGAGTCTTGACAGGGATCCCCTACAGACACTTCAGTTCTTCTCTCGGTGCTACGTAAAGGGAACAAGCACAAATACGCAGAAAGATCAATAGTCTTGAACTAGAACCAAGGAAGCAAGACTTTAGCACTATTTGGTTTTCCGCCACACCAATGCACAAATTATCCATTATAAAGATAGTGGTTTAAGTGACTAAAATGTTTCTAAACAGGAGACCGGAAGAACAACCTGCTGTCCCACACAATCAGGTTCATGGCTCATCAAGCATGGGTCTGCCGAGAGTCAATAAGTGCATCTATCTCCATTTGCTACAGATTGGCAGCTAAGCGGTTTAGATTCAGGCTGCATGGATCCTAACTGGGAGATGAGGAACTGACCAATGCTCTGGATACAACAGAAAGAGCAGCACAAAGGCTTCATGGAAATTTAAATTACCAAGGATAGGGAATTACCCAAAAATCATATCACATTTTCAATACTAACAGAATGCAGTAGTTATATTATATAATTACATAGATATGGTACACATAATTATTTGGGGATCTTTTTCTCTTTTGAGCAGATGTTAGTGCATGCAGATCTGGGCACTGCACCAATGTGATATGGGGCCAAGCAAATTTCCATCAGCCCAAAGGTTGGAGGTTCAAACTTCACATTCACACAAAGGCAAGGTCTTGCCCAGCGACACAATGCACTGATTGAAGTGATGTGTGAGTGATCAGTAATGGTTTGTGGGACAGATGGGGCAGACTGGCAGCCTCGCTTCTGTGTTTACCCCAGGGCAGCTGAGGTTACAGAAATAGCTTAGAATCACAAACTATGGAGTGAATTACTATAGCATAGGCAAGTATTTAAAGGACCCATAATCGCACTATTTTCTGATCTGTTTTGTCGTTTTCTCATCAAAAACATGCCTGGAGTCTTGTTTTGTTTCATTCACACATCTTTATCAAACAAACTCTGCTTATTTAGGCTGAGTTCTTCTTTCAAACAGAAAACACTCTGTTCCGACTAGTGATGTTATGTGGTAATACAGGAAGTGTTGTACTGAGTTTTTAAATGACATACAACTTCACAGGAATCATTTAGATAATTTCAGCCCCGAAATTGCCGTCCATGGTAAAAGCCATTTTGAACTTTAGAGTTGCACACAGACTAATAAAATTTGACACAAACGTGTGAATAAAAGAAAGCACAACTCCAGCTATGTTTTTGAAGAGGTGACAACATTCTAACATGTCTTAAAGCTCCCAAGAGGTTCCAATTCTGTAAACTGGAAGAGGAGAAAGATGGTCATTTTATAGGCAACTCTACTTACCGCCACAGAGTGTGATAATGTACTCTATCTCAAACCACACCAATCATATACAGTACAAATTATTTATTGCATGGACTCTGTCCTGACTCATCCTCTATTGGAGCTTATGGTAGGTTTTAGGACACTGAGATAAAATTGAATGTCAGGTCAGAGTATGAATGTTTATTCACCTCACTGCTCATCTGTCTCCATTCTGACAGATGTGGCTTTTACACAAAACCAGATTATCGTCATTACCATCACCGACACTTACAAAGCTTTAGAAAGAAGCACAGAGCCAGAGAGTGCATTAATTCTTTGATTAATGATTAAAACCCAGCAAGCCACATATCAGAGTCACCTTGTTAATTTAACTAGACTTAGACTAGGACAGAAAAAATATAGTTTTTTTTTTTTATACAAGACTATAGTGGCACAGGCAATCCTTAAGGAATACATGTATTCCTTTTTTTTGTTACTTGTCTCTACAAAACAAAACTCTGATTAAAGGTCCTGTGTTATGTAAACACAGGACTTGTTATGTAAACTTGTGAGCTTTTAGCCATACTATACTAAAAAACATATCTGGAGTTGTTTTGTTTGAGTGAAAGACACATGTTTGGGTAACCCTTTATTATTAGTCCATTTCCATTTCTAGACCTCAAAATGCTCTGTTCCACCTTCTGATGTCGTCAGTTTTCAAGTGAACAGCTGCCTTTTACCTTTTAACTTTTGTTTTGTAGAGATTAGCAAATCCAAGGCTGAAATTTTCCAAAAGAACTCAGGCTAAAATATGCATGGTTTGTGTGAAAGAAACACAATGTGAATAAAACACAAATCTGGGTGTGTTTTTGATCTATGTATTTATGTTAACACATCATGCAGAAAGTATAATTTCAATACCTATTTATGGCTCAGCTTGTTTAAGACTACTTGGTTAAAATGTTGCTTATGGGGGGCAGCACACTCTCCTCCATTAATGAGAAACACTTACATCTGTGATCTTCTTTATGATATTGTTCAGAGCTCAAATACTTACAGCTGCAGCCAGTGCCTGAGCAAGATCTTCAATGATGTCCTCTTCATCCTCCAGCCCCACAGACAGCCTGATCAGAGTGTCACTGATCCCAAGAACAGCCCTTTCCTTCTCAGGCACTGAGGCATGGGTCATAATAGCTCTAAATAAGAAATGCATAAAAAGAATTATTGTGATGGACTGAACGCTGGAGAATGGGCAGGCATTTATCACATTGTGGGGACTAAAATCTTTCTGCACACTCACTTTATGGGGACCTGTCCCATTACGAGAATAAAAATCAGGTCCCTAGGCAAATCCTTCATTATTAAGTCAACAACATAATTTAAGGTTCACATTTGGGTTAAAATAGGTTAAAAGTTAAACAAGTATTGACAACAATTCAGGTTAGGGGAATAGGGCTGTGCAATATATCAAAACCTCAATTATAGTAAGCACAATCAACACATAGCAAAGACTAGAAGGTATTTAGGTCAATTATTTAGACAACTGAATGTCCTGTAAACAATAAAAAATATTTTCTTTTTTTTTACCAACAAAACTGTAATATGTTTGCATTTTTAGTTCTGTAATACATGGGATTATTTTATTATTGCAATTGAGATTTCAATCTCTCAAATACTAATGTTGCTTATTGTTGTTTTACAGTGTGCACTCTGAACAGAATGCTACGTTTTAAACATTAATTGCAAATCTAATCTCAATCACAATACTTGTTAGAAAAATTGCAATATTCTATTTTTATTTGTAGTCCTACAGGAAATTAATGTATGTCAAAGAGCATGGAAACCCAAGTTATCAGCAGCGCTCATGTGAGAGAGAGGTGCTTTATTTGCTTAACTCTGCTTCCCCCTAGTGGTAAAAGTGTACAGCACAATGAGCTTTAGTTAACTTACGGATGCTCGGCTAAACTTTCATATCCACCAAGACTCTCAGCAACTGCAAACATCTGAAACACAAATAACATTAACGCAATGAGTCCAGATTAAGTAAAATGGAGTAAAAATGATATGACTAGTTACTTTGAGGTTGCTGAGGAAGGCACTCGCATGCTCTAGTTTGCCCTTAATATAGAAGGTGATCATTCCAGGGCATCCAGTGCATTGCTTCTTCACTACATCATATTGTGGATGGGAAGGGAGACCTATTACAAAAAACAAAAATACATGCAGTCTTATTATTTAGAAAATTAAATAATATGTTATCAGTGTTTGTGATTTAAGTGCAACCTTTTATTAATTCATTGTGTGAACTTTTGACTGATTTGGAACACTAGTTTATGGCCATACCGGCTTGTAAAAGCCTGATCCCATCAGATCTCAGAAGCTAAGCAGGGCCTACTGAGATGGGAGACCACTGGGAAAATCAGGTGCCACAGTGGGGCACCAGTGGGAATAGCTGTTGTTGTGTCCTTAGGCAAGACACTTCACCCACATTGCCTACTATTAAAGTGGTGTGTGCATGAGTGATGGTGGTGGTCGGAAGGACCGATGGCGCCAATTGGCATGGCAGCCGCCCCTCTGTCAGTCAGATCCATTGACTTCATATTCAAAACTGTAGAACAGCCTCTTCGTAATGGGATTTCACCTTAACAAGCATTTACATGTCTTTTTGCTTATGTAGTATTTTTAACCTTATATATGCCCCAGAGTCTGATTTATTATTATTTTTTGACTAATCTCAAGGAAAGACTAGATGAAAACAGACATTTTCTGAGCACTCAGGCCTCAACAGTAAAACAATGCAAGATTATTCAGACTTGCTTGAATTTATCAAAATACTACTTTGACTAAGTTAATAATTAACAACCCTTATAAACATGAACATAACATGTCCCCTTTAACTATCTTCTAAACTGCACACATATGTTTATCTTGTGATTATTCCCTATTACACTGAATATATTTTGTCACCTGGAAAGATAACATGCTCCACCCTGGGATCAGCCTCTAAGAACTTGGCAGCTGCCATTGCATTTTTGAAGTGTCTCTCCATACGAAGGTGCAGTGTCTTCAGGCCCCGGTTGCACAAGAAGCAGTCAAAGGGAGATGGAACTCCACCAAGAGCTAAATGAAAAGCAAAAATGCTTAGAAACTTTTTGTAACATGAAAATACAGTGTAAAATACAATCAGAACTTTAACAATTGAATTACAATACTGGATTACTGGATACTGGATTGGCTCACCACTATATATCAGTAATAACTTGACTTAAATACTGATTGTAAAAAGTTATCGCCTTTTATTTTACAAACCGTTCTGAAGAAATTTGAGCCGGTCATACAAGGCCTCATCGTTGACAGAGATAAGACCCATTACTACATCACTGTGGCCTGTGAAGTAGATGAAGGCAAAATTGAAATTAACAGTAAGTAAAATAAGAAAGGTGTATGAAAATAGAAGAGTACTGTACCATTCATGTATTTTGTGGCAGAATACATGCATATATCAGCTCCTAGTGCCAAAGGTCGCTGGGGAGAAACATAATTCACTTGACAACTTGTCACATCATGAATAGGAATTTAATTACATCCTAAAAAACAGGTTCAAAATACAATGAAAAAAATTTCTCACCTGAAAATATGCTGACATGAATGTATTATCCACTACTACAATGATGTCTTTGTTGTGTTCATGGACTAAATCTGAGCAGGCTCGGATGTCCACAACTTTCATTGTTGGGTTGGTTGGGGTTTCAATCCATACCATCTAAAACAATTAATACATTTGTTTTAGGATTGTGCTAAATAAGACTAGAGGCAACTGTGACTGTTTGAAGTAGTAAATAGACTGTTTAAAAAGCAATTATAGTGTGACAGAATTGGGACACACCCAATTCACTTGCTTATTCATGCTGATGAAGGCAGTTTTCCTCTTACTTTTGTGTTGTTCTTAATAGCAGCCTTGAGCAGCTCTGGTTTAGTGCAATCTGCAAAACTGATTTCAAGACCAAACTGAGCAGCAACTCTTTGGAAGTAGCGATTTGTTCCTAGGAAAAAAGTAAGATTTGAATTCAACAAAGATACTTTTATTCTAGATAGCCTTGTTTCATTAAACCTGACAAACCTCCATAAACATCATCCATGCAAACTATCCCATCACCAGCTTTGAGCATGTGGGTAATGGTAACTGTGGCAGCAAGTCCAGACGCAAGAGCCAGACCTGCAATGCATAATAAAAACAATAATAATAATAATAACAACAGAGTGTAACTTTTGTCTTCTCCTATTCAGAAACATTAGGGAGGCAGTAAACTCTAGTGAAATTGACTTTTATGTCAGACTCAATAAATGTCAGCTGTAATAAATTCCTTAATTTAACTAGAGCATAAAGCGTATGCGCCTTCCTTTCATGTGACATTATTGTTTCCGATATTGTACCAATCAGCTTGTGCTGTGTAATGATTACACGGTTGGATCTGATATTGAAGATGATAAAGATTAACTAATAGTACAATTTAGGCATTGCTAAAATAAAGAGTTCACTTACAATACTTGGCTCCATCTAAAGCTGCTACAGCCTTCTCCAGGACATTTCTGGTTGGGTTTCCACTTCTGCTGTACTCAAAGCCCTACACAAGTCAAATAAGACACGTGAACAAAAATCTATACAATGTACTTGAGTGCTATACATTCATCTAAGATATCAAAGTAAAGCTTGTAGCAGACATTCTGGTTTGGCGTCGGCATTATGTTCTTTAACAGACCTTACATGGCCTTGACAGAGAGACAACTCTGTGTGAACAAAAACATCTGAACACATTCACAAGCAGTGAGTACTTTATTTGTTCTTGTAATTATTACCAGAGTTCATGTAATGGCACGTCTATCTGTTTTGAGCCGTAGGGGTCCCGCACAATAAAACACACTCAAAAACATTGATAAAAGAATATTGCAGTCGATATCTCGTGTAGGATATTGGATATATGAGCTAATATTTAAAACAATGTTGATTTTTGTCGTTTCCTTTGGGGCTCATGCTCAGTACATAGTCGCCCCCTCTCGCTCTCACAGCACACACTAAAATAACCAGCGCATAACCAAACCATATCACTTACAGCGTGGTTTCCTGGCCCGTTCTGCTTGAACGTGGTAGAAAGAGATATTGGCGGCACCACGGCCATTGATTTCCATTGCTCTGGCTCCTGACCGATGTGAATGGCATCTGTGGCAAACGATTTAAAGACCGTGTGAAAGCCGGCGAACAGGTCGCTCTGATCCTCCTTCTTGGTCTCCATAACTTGTGAGTCCTGAGTCAAAAGAGAAATGGGCTAAAGAGTGTACAGCTTTACGCTAAAGGGAAGAGCCATTTACCGGAGCCATGTGTCACGGTGGCTACGGGCCAATCAGTGCGCATCAACAAGCACGGAGCGTCTGCGATTGGTGGTCGAGCGGGGGCGTCCAACCCATGTGACCCAGGCACACTGTTTGCGTTCCTATGTAAGCGCGCTGGCTTTAGGAGAGGCACTGATGCAATCCACTACACACAGGAAACATACTACGAGTAGTACCGCTACTCTCCCATGTGTAAATACTACTGTATCTAGTGTGCACTATAGGCTATATAGGCCTGTACATAGGCCTAGATAGAAATGCTACACAATTAAACTGTAAAGGCACGTACCCCAAATATTGTATCACCAATATGTATGCCATATCTTACAATATACGCATTCTATGCATAAAGAGAACCAATAGGCCGATACTGTGCGTATTTTCTCTCTGTATCTCTGTAATATTAATCTGTTCTGTAATACATTGTTTACCCCACAGAGGGAGAACTTGCTCCTTTACACATAGTGACTTATAGACTTTTAACACTAATTTGTTTTATGGTATATTTTTCTCCTTCGAGTACAAATTCAAGTTTTAATATTTTTACATTTATTTTGACACACCATAGAGACCACTAGTATTTGCGTAGGTAGTCTTCTAGTTTGGGTTTGGACCATTTAATTTACTTGGATATAAACTCCATTAGCATTTCATAGCAGTCATATGAAATGGGGTTATATAATTTTTATTCCTAACAAGTTCACAAACTGTAGCAGGGCTATGTCCCGGGAGTAGAGCCTACAACCCGCTCCCACGTTTACAACATGTGTTCATGTTTTGCGCTTTCTCAATTTGTCCGATAGTAACCTTCAGCAAACTCTCGCGATAGTTCACGGCGGAAGACATCACCCAATCTGCTCTGTTTCGAGTCTTGTTGGAGCCGCGTATGTTGTGCGGTGACCGGGGACAGTTTGTGGGAGTGAACTGTCGCTGTATGTTCAGATCGTCGTAGTTATAACGTGCTCTTAATAACCCGTGACTTTTGAGTGTACAGAGTTTATGTGGTGCATTTCTTCGTGTCTCGGACTTCCAGCGGGCGGATTGCCTTGATCACGCAGAGGGTCCTCTCCACGGCGGCACCCTCTGCTCCGCCTGCCGCCGCCGCCGCCACGGTGTTTAGAAGATGACCGGGGAGAAGATCCGCTCCCTGCGCAAGGACCAAAGGCCCAGCAAGGACGAGGATTTACTGGAGCCCGACGAGGAAGCCGCCACCGGGACTTTCACTGCCTCCAAGACGAATAACAAGAGCAGAGCGAGTAAAATCTTCAGCAACCATAAGTTAAGCAGGTCGTCCTCCACTCAGCAGCAGCCCAACCAGCAGTCACAGATCAACGCCAACACTACTCCCCTGTCCACGGCCGATGTCATAGACGACAACAACAAGAATCCCGTTATCCGAGCCGCGCAGGACTATCCCGTGCACGAGTGTGTTTTTAAGGGAGATGTGCGGAGACTGTCCTCTCTTATTCGAACGCAGAATATCGCTCAGAAAGATGTCCATGGTGAGTTTGTCAGATGTTCAGTCTAACTGTAGTTTTATTATTCACTGCTCTAATTTCAGGTGTGGCATGTTTTGGTTACAGCTCATGTGGGCACACGGCACAGTCTAAAATGTCCACTTCTACACAGTCACTTCCACATACATCTGCATTTTGTTGTAAGAAGTACATCTCCCTCAAAGAAAACTGTAACCCACTCACTTCAAAATAACAGGCTCGACGTGTTCACGTGCCGAGACAGGGGATTATGAAGTCGCTAGTCAAAGATCTGGCATGTGCCCTAACAGCAAGGCGCTACGGGATTAGATACTGACACTTTTAGTTATGATACCAAATTTCTGTCAGTTTTGCATAAAGCTTTTTTTTCTTTTAATTTGGTAATAACCTAGTTTTCAGAACATTGCTTCTGAGGAACAATTATGGATACTCAATTTTCTCAGGAGGGGCTTGGTGGTGCTGACCTAGCACTTCAGCTTCCTCCCTTGGACACACCAAAAGCTTGTGAAAGCCATTCTGCATTAGGGTTTTCAAAAGTATTTAAAACGAGATGATTGATACTGATTGATACTAAAAATAATACAGAAACTAGATAATTTAAACAGTTTTAGTGTCATTTTGAGTTTTATCACAACTAATCTCATAGTAACATAAACAAAGTATCAAAACAGAGTTTGATTTATTTATTTATTTTAATCTCGACAACACTGTTCTACAGGTTCTGTGATCAGTCGCTGAACATTAACGTGCTTCATAAGCACGTCCATCTGAAGAGTTTCTGCATGTATTTGTATTTAGCCTGGAAAGAGTTCATACACTTATTAACAGACTTTGAATAAAACTGAGATTGTATCTTTAAGTTGTGATCCAAATGTTATTTAGAAATGCTGTTTATAGTGATGTTTTTACTTGGTTAAATTGTTTTTCTCTTTTCCCTCTGCAGGAAACACACCCTTACATCTCGCTGTCATGATGGGACACAAAGGTGAGCAACTAATCAATGCTTGTCACTGTGGCTTATTTTTGTATCTCTGGGTTGATCTTTTTAAACATGCCTTGTGCTTTTTTACTGTCACAGTTAATACAATTTTTTTTTACAAATTCTCACAAGCAACATTCCAGTGTTTTTTTTGCACTTGTGTGGTACGAAATTGTCAGTGTGTCAGTTTTTTCCTTGGTAAAATATTAAACTTTAACGAGCTCTGTGAAACAACTGATCTTACTGCATTCATTCTATCTCTTAACCACCACAACCATGCAACTTCCACACTAGAAATGAAAAGATACCCTGACATATGACCTGACTGACCAGAACCACACGATTTGACAAAACTTTACAAGGACGAGTGGAGCCATTTTCAGAGGGTGTGACTGACAGGTGGATTAACCAATCAGAGAGACACATGGTCCGTTCACGTGAAAAACAAACTGTTAGCGGTTTACACTTAAAAAAAAGGGGGGGAAAACTACATAAAGAACTGAGAAACAGCCCACATTTTTGCAGAATCAAGAATTGAAGCACCAAACTGTTATTTATGTCAGGTAAAACAAGTTTTGTATATTTTGTTCTGAATGATACAAGAATTTTGGAGAGGAGATGTCTTCCGCATTAGAGAGACATTTGCTTCAAATTAGCAGCTCTGGTTGGATCGTCTCAAGTTTGGATGGAGGATTTTCACTTTCTATTGTCCGGTTTCAGACCCTTCTGGATTTGAATAGAATGTAAAATGCACTGACTGGTCAATCAAACTAGCGTATCTATCTCCAAGTTTGGCTCTTCAAATAATAATAATTTGGAAAGAAGAATCTCGTGTTGTCAGATGACTTCATATTGTTACACATGTTAGTTTTCAGCTAACTTTAACTTGCACTTGGTGAACTAGAAGCAAAAGATAAAATATTGATGCCCTGCCCCTTTGAGAATCTGTGCTTACATTCAAGAAGGCTTTGGTACACACTTTTGAAATTTTAATCTGTCTTTTTTTGGCAGTGGACCCTCTGTGAACAAGTCAAGCGTAGAGTTACCCTTGTTGCTCTGTGTCTATTTGTTTAGCATCTGCCACCAGAGCATAGTTTCGATTGATTTCACATTTGCACTGTGTGATCCTTGTCACCGGAGTGGAGCCCGTGAGTACTGGTAATGCAGACAAGCAGCCCTATAGTGGATGGGACACAGTGGAATTGATTGTGCTAATGTGGTTGCCTGTCTCTTTTGCCACAGTGATGCTGGACCAGTGTCCTCTAGGGATATTCAGACCAGGCGTGCAGAAGGCTGGAGATGAGATCATAGTTTTGGGTGTGGCGGTCCTGCTGTGATGAAGACGTAGCACAGGGTTTTTTGTTTGTTTACTGAGCTATAAGTGGGATGACAGATGCATTTAGTAAAATAATCTGACTTTGATTTTATAATCCCTTAAACTAGGGTTGTGTAATATGACATGTAATAACATGAGATAAATCAGATGCTGAAAATAGTTAAATGAATGATGATATTTTGATGAGCTCAAAATTCAAAAATCCTTGTTGTCAAAACTATGTTCAAGTTTAGCAATAGGGGCTCAACAAAAAATCATTCCAAATTATACAGGCAAATCATTGGAGAGTAAGAATACAATACACTTAATGCACAGACCATTTATTTTTTTTACTTGGACTCAAAAAGGAGTGGGAAGAGGAGAACATTTCAGATGTTAACAATTGATAATAATATTTATTATAAGATTTGGGGAAAAAAATCTATTCAATCGATTTATCAAATTTGAAGTTTGGAAGAAAATCAGTTTTTATTTTCCCCACTTTCTTGCACTGGATTTTTTTCTGGAAATTGAAAATGCAAGAAGGCTGCTCACTGCAGTCACAGGGACCAAAGTTTAGCACAGGGCCATGCAGCGCTGACTGCTTTGAAATCAATGTCAAATTAAATGTTGGTGCTGCATGTTTAATGAGTAGTTTGTTTTATCTCATTCATAAAAGATGTCCCCAATGTCCAGTTAATATGATCATCGAATATAGTATTTACACTTTTGACCATTTTCTGCAGTTTGCAGATCATGTTTAGTAGAAAGGGAGAGTATTTAAAAAAAAATCAAATAGCAAAATTTAACTTTCAGGCGAAACACTCTACCCTAATATAATATTTAACAAATAAATAAATAAATACACAATATTTAATAAGTTAGATCTCCAGTGTGAACTCTCAGAACATTTGGTTTGCTCCCAAGAATACAGGAATTATATTACAATCACAATCAGAATATAGGCTGTGTATAAAAAACATAATATGAATTTTCTGTCATATCAGTCGCCCTGAGTTTTACAGGTGGACTTTGTTTTTGCTGCTTCATATTCACATACTGTATTCACTATAATGTTGTTGTGTTCCTGGTCAGTATCACTAGTGACACAAGAACAAGAATGGCTGTAAAGTATAGGCCTGTAACCATAATTGATTTTGAAGTGTGATATATTATTGATGTGAACATAGATGATAATTGATAACATTGAAAATAATATATACCACTTACATGATAACCTTAAAGAATATTCATCCCCCAGATTATTAGAAATTGTTAAAAGGAATGAGCTGCAGTAAATAAGTAAATAGCAAAATTAATCACTTATGTAGTTTAATTTATATCTAAATTTGGCTATATATGTCAGAAGTTATCAATAGAAAAAAAAAACAAACAAACAAAAAAACACTAGTGCAACGAAAAGTACCCATTATAAATATTGACTCCCAAATGATTGTTCCTTCATATATTGAATGATAAGCTGATACAGTAATTATCATGACAGGCCTACTGTAAAGAACTGATTCAGCATCAAGTTGCTTTCTGCCCTGGAAGCTGCATGGATGAATCATTGATTATTGCTCTCTAGAAAAGCAGCCTTGTCCATGTAATGAGAACACTTAATACAGCACTGACTCACTGTTAGTAATGTAACTTGAACCCTCCTTTGTGATATGATGATCATTTCTGCCATTAAATATAATATGGTGCAAACAGGGCTGTGCAATTAATCACATTTTCATTAAGTTGGAGATGATATGATTGTGTCTTTTTAATTGAGAAATCCACAGACAATCATCTCTAAATGAAAGCATGTCGTTTGTGTTTAGGAGGAAGACATTGTACTATTTTTGTATTAAATGAGACAGAATAAACATCTGTATTGTTTAGGCTCAGAAAATTAATATCCAAAGTGATTTTGTTATGAATAAAGCAAAATAAAACCAAATAGAACACTGAGATTCAAATCCAATTCACAAATCCAATTCTTTATTTATATAGCACATTTTACAAACAAAACTGTTTCCAAAGTGCTGCACTTATAAAGATAACATTAAAAACAACAAAAGGTATACAATAGAGGATATAAATGCTCAATTTAACATTGCCAGTCCTAAAACACTTGGTCAGTATGAGGAAACAAAGTGATTACTGTTTTGTTATATTGCCTAAGTGCGGCTGCTATATTTTACATTGTCAGAACAGTTACAAACAAATGCCGCTTTTCTATGTTTTACTAATTATATGTTATATGGTAGTTATGAACCTGGAGTAAATGTGTGTTGTATTAAGCATTCACACAGCTGCCTCATGATCAGAGCCCCATCTGTAGCTCATGCACGTCCCGGGGTATTAGATGAGCACTTTATTTCCTGCTCCCGCTCCTTCCTCTGCTGGAGTTTTCTTTGCAGCTGATGCACATGGAGTCAGTCTGCAGAGCTACCGGGAAATGCACAATATCAATAGATTCAACACAGCTCCAAACTGTGGCTAAATGACGTACAGGCTAAATGTTGATGTGTATACAGCAGAAGTTCTTCAGATTTTATTGTGAGTAAAAATAACTCAAGATGAAAATGGCATACTGTAAACAGGCCTGTCACGATAACAAGGCAGGGGTGGGATTAAATAAATTTTCTTCTTTTGAGCTACAGACACATGTATACTGCTTGTGGTCATTAATCTGCTCAAAATAAATAAATGTAATAAAATTAAGATAATATTGCAACTAACTGACATAATAAACCAAGGGCAGATTTAAATCACAAAATCTATTCTAAATCTACAATATTGTTAAAAATAATTAAATAAATAAATAATGAACTGCAATAAATAAACAGCAGAAATAAACACTTTAGTACTTAGTTTGCATCTGTAATGGTTTTGAAGTTATTAATTCAAACTTTTGCAGCTTGAATCTTTATCAAAATGCCCCAAAATAACAAAAAAGTTCCTATAGCAACTAAAATGTGACTTCTTTTTATAATCATGTTGTTATCCTTTATTAAAACATCTTAAAAGTTTTGATATTTCACCTTAATCTAGCTGTAATATGTCCACAAAGAAGACTTTTATTAACTTTACTGGCACCAGATGAAAATGTAAAATATTGCAAATTAAAAACTACTGCACTACTTTTTTCTCCTGCAGACCTGTCACAATAGCACATTTTGTAGCACGATAACTACTGCAATAAATGATAATATTGTCACTACATAATGCCACTGACACAAAGCAGGATAATCCCAGTAAATTTATAAGTATACTGTATCAATGAAATACCTAAACTGCAACAAATAAACAGCAGACTGAACCAGTAATTAGCCATAGAAGTTATTTATTCAACCTTCTACAACTCAAATCTTATCGTATTACATAAAAAGGTCTCCCCGCTATTGAACATGATATATATTGACTCCCAAAATGTATTCCATCTTTCATATATTGAACGATAAATCGATATTGTAATTATCGTGACAGTCCTACTCCCTGGTGTGTCCTTTAATCTCTAATTTAACCTGGATGTTGTTTGCGTCCAACACTGCGCAGGCTTAGTTTAAATCCACCATTAGATCAATGTACGTCTGTCTTTGTACCTGCAATGTAACAGCTTGCTGGGAAAGTCAGATGAACACTGGGCCTGACTTGTGCCCTCCTGTTCTCGACACATGATTGCATAATGTATATCAGCTAAACGTTGTCATTATTATTACACAATCATTGGATTTAGCCGGGTGATATATAGGCCACAGACTCCGGGGAATGTGAACTTGCGTCACTCTCTAAGTACCATTGCATTTGGCCATCCCCTTTTCCCCTTTTATCAAAGTCTCTCTTCGTGGATTAGAGTAATGCATGGAAACAGATGAATATTGTGTAGTTGCAAATAAGGCTCTTTGTAAGGCTGGACAATATATTGCTATCAGATCGAAATGTCAATTTGAGTGGGTGCAGTTGCCATCAAATTGCAAAGACTCCAATTATTTAACCTTTATTACACAAAATTGACTCTTGTGAGCTTTAAGCCAGGCTATAATGCTTTTAACTCATTAAAATATACCTGGAGTTGTGTTTTGTTTCATTCACACATGCTTGAGTAATCCTTTATTATTAGTCTGACTTCTCCAAAGCTCAAAATGCTCTGCTTGGGATGTCATGTAGTGGTAGATTTAAAGTTACCTTTTGCCTTTTGTTTAGTAGAGTTTGGCAATTCCGGGCTGAAATTATCTAATAAAGGTGTATGGACTTTAAAAAGACAGTGAAGCACTATATTTATTACCACATGACATCACAAGGTGGAACAGAGTGTTTTCTGTTTGAGAGAAGAACTCAGCCTAAATATGCAGGATTTGTGTGTTAAACATGTGTGAATGAAACAAAACACAACTCTAGACATGTTTGTGATGAGGAAACTATATTGGAACATAGATCAGAAAATAGTTTAATATGGGCCCTTTAAGCAATAGAATGTCCTGTTTTTAGACACAAACATAATTCCAATAGTAATAGTTATCAGAAATGTTTTTATTGTTTTTGTATTTTTCTGTTGTCAGAGACTGTCACTGCAAATGTTGGTTTGTCCTTTGTAGGTCAGTCTTTTGGCTCATCTTCAGTGTTTAACCTGTCAAGAATATATTGATTTCAAGGATCAATTTTTGTAACTTCTGCTGCTGACCTCATTGTTTTATTTTTGACTGATAGCAGTAGCACAGGGTTGTATGGAAAAGTCAATTCAGGGGTTTTATCTTCCTGTTAAAAGGTGACATTTTGAGGAGTTTTCGCCACTCAAAACTCAAAAAATGTAATATTTCCCTTTGAACTGTGTTACTTTTTCATCACTTGAAAACTTATGGTTAGTACTAGAGTTGAGGCTGTAGTTCTAGTGAGTAATAAAAAGAGATCAAATAACAAACATTGAACTCCAGTGAGAACGGCACAGTGTATGGGTGAATCAAACAGTTTTTTTCTTTTTATTTACTTGGCGAAAAACAGCATAGAAACAAAGAAAATGTCAACACCTCCGAGACCAGGAACAAAAACATCAATAAAGAAAGCATAGTTGTTTACTTGTAACTTATTGTAGATTATAGAGTATCGTAGTTTTTTCATAATTTAATAATTGTATTTCCTGAATGGTATTATGAGTGCCCGTTCCTTTACATTTTCTCATTGTGGCCCTGTCAAGGTTTTTATTTGTACAAACAAACTTTTAAAAGCAGGCCCACATCAAACACTAGAGCTCTTCTCATGATTAATGCAGTACAGAGACAGGCCAGCCAACTGTCACTGCAGAATCTCTGTATTTCTGTCCCTTTGTTGTGTTTATTTTGGGAAATATTTCCAAATGTGTCACACTAAGACTGTATGAGGCTCTGCCCTATTTGTCAGTTAAGTGCAGTTTTTAAGTAAGCTCCCGACAAACATTAGAAAATAAGTGAAAATTGTTTTAACCTGTACAACAGAAACATACAGGAAAATTATTTTATGAAGAATTTTAAACTTCAAAGAACACCACTGTGACCAACACTTACATGACAAAATTGGTTTATAAAAAAAACTAAAAGAAACTATTTATTCTTTCTTCTGAACAAATGCTTTGTAGCACAGCCATCAAAATCAACATGCATTTGGTAAAATGGTCATGTGCATAGCTGTTTTCTTTTCTTCATATTATGTGCCCATAACTAGGGCCTATGTACATTTTCTTAGGAGATTTAAAGGACCCATATTAGACTCTGTTCTGATCTATGTTACAATGTTGTTTCCTCATCACAAACATACGTGGGCTTGTTTTTTTGTTTTTTTTCATTTACACATGTTTAACACACAAACCCTGCATATTTAGAATGAGCTCTTCTCTCAAACGGAAAACACTGTTCCACCCGGTGATGCCATCTGATAATACTGGAAGTGCTCCACTGTTAAAACTTTTAAACTCCATACAGCTTCACTAGAATCATTCAGATGACTCCAGCCTTGGAATTTCCAAACTTTACTGCACTAAAGGTCAAAGGTAACAGTTAATTTGAAAACTACTACTTAATGACATCACAAGATGAAACAGAGTATTTTGAGCTTTGGAGATGTAAACAGATTAATAATAAGGGACTAGGCAAACATGAATGAAACAAAATTTTGCATAAGGTATGTTTTTGAGGAAGTAACAACATTAAATCATGGCTTCAAGTTCACAAGAGTCAATTTTGCATATTATAGGACCTTGTAAACGTTCTGTTGAAAATATGAGGAAAATGTGTTTATTTCCTTGGAAATGCTCAAGGTTACAGAACTGCCTGCTTATTACACTGGAAATCCTTTTTATAGAATTGCTGAAAAACAGGTCTGAACTGGAGAGCAGGCCTGTCTGGGTATGTTTGGATGACTCACTGGGTTAACTGAGTGAAAGAAGGCTTGCATAGACATCACCTGTGTGGGATATTGTCAGCATAAATGATCAAATAATGAAAAATCTGAAAAAATCTACTTCCTCAAATACATCTTGTATAGAATAGGTGGTTAGTGGGCAATGTCCATGGTCAACCCTTTGCTTTTGGTTGTTTCAGAGTTGTCCAGGTGCCAGGGTTTTAATGAATAATGTCACCCACAACAAAACTGACAACTGAGCTGGAACAACAGGCTTGAGTTTTGGCAGGCAGTAGTTTGCTGACAGTCTGCCCAAACAGTAAAATGGATTTGGTCCTGCACTTACTTACTGCTGATGCAGTAGCAGAAAACGGAAGAGGCTTGCTGGCTGCCAGTCTCAGTTTAAAATCTGTAAAGATGATGCATGCACAATTAGAGTACATACAATAAACAATATCAGTGATTTCTCTTTTGTATGTGCGAAAGACACTGTTGATTAGAGCTGCAAGATAAGTCACAATTGAATCAACAATGTAATTCGAATAGTCACAATTGAAAAATCCCCTTGCAAACAATAGGGGTGGGATGAGTCACAATGAAACAAGGCGAGGTTTTAACGTAATTCTGAAAAAATCACAACAGCGTCTCAAGAAATGCAGCTTGGCAGCACTTAGTAACTCTTTTTTGTCCCGAATGTAAAAACATGGGTAGAATTTCACAACATAATTTTTTCTCATGTCTGCACAATCTTGTCTTCAGTCTTGCAGTTTTGTCTCATAAGATCTAGTGGTATGAGATCTTGTCCCATCACTAGCAAATGACTAAATGTCTAGTCTAGTCATAACCCTTAACCCTGGAATTTAGACCTATGCAAACATGGTCAAAAGACCATGTGTTTCTTGTTTAACCATTCAGTCTTCTCCCTTGAAAATCTGGATTTTGTCATTGTATACAGTACCATATCAAGCTTTCTTTTTCTCCACTTGCATTGTGTTAATCAAAAGTGTTTCGTTGTACATTCAATAGTTTATATTTACTATTCTCTCTAAGCATGCTCTTTATTTTGCAGAGTGTGCCCATCTCCTGCTGGCCCACAATGCACCTGTGAAAGTGAAGAACGCTCAGGGATGGAGCCCCCTGGCTGAGGCCATCAGCTATGGCGATCGTCAGATGAGTGAGTTACTGAGTGGTTTTGTTTTGTGCCAAACTGAGAGGGCGCCTTGCACGTCTGCCAACACACCCACTGCACACACACACACACTCATGCATACACACACATCGCACTAGCCCAGCAAATGATTTTCAACAAACATTGTGACGTTAATGGAGTCCTGCTTGTGTTTGTGTGAAAACTGTGATGAGGGGAGAAATTTACCAAATCAACAAATGCAAATCAACACATGTCCGTGCCCATTCTTCCGGGCTGATGCCTCCTAGAAAGGCCATGACGCGGTCCAGGCTGCTTTGTAGTTCTGAAGGGAGACATTCCTGAAGGTCCTATGGCTTTTGTATTCACATGAAAAGCCTAAGTTCATTAGCTGTGTCTTTAGCTCCTCATTGGCTGATCAAACTCAAGCCCCTGCCTCGCCCATCTAGTGGTCATTGGCTGTATTTATCTTTTTTCCATAGTGTGCCAAGGGCAGGGTTGATTCATTAATGGTGAGCTCATTATTTTAGGTTTACATTGCAGTCATGTTCAGTTGTGTGATGGTCTGAAATTATGGAGCTCATTTCAGTTAAAAATCCTATACACACAAAGCTTGTCTAGTGCAATGTGACTCACTACAATGTAGCTGCTCTGTCTGAGGCCAGATTCTTCCCATTATAAACTAGCCATGGTTGTTGTGGTAACTTTCACACAATTTAGTTTAAAGGTGCAACTTTTCTGGATGGGTCCACCACCTGTTTGATTTCCAGAAGATGCTGAAACTTTGTCCTAAATGTTCCAGAGTATGACATTAAACTTCTGTCTTGGATATGAAATGAATTACAGATGTTTTTATTCTTCTCAAAAATATGCATTTCTTTGAGTGGGGTTGCCTCTCAACTGATCTGATCCTCGGCAACTCTATATGGAGATAGAAGTTTAATGTCATACAGGCAAAACAGGTAACAAACCCACCCACTAGATAAGTTATATACATACAGTTATATATACATCAATGACTTGTATAATGCACTTAGTTTCAGCTCTCAAGTAAATTTTTTTAAACATCACATAATCACAATAAGCAGTAATTGTGAGATTCTTGAGATTACATAAATTGAAATTTGGCCTTTTAATATTGTAGTTCAGTTCCATTGTGACTGTAAAAATTTAATCATACAGTGCCATTTTTGTATTCCAGGGTATTAAATGACAGGACTGCAAACTGAGAGCTGTCCGCTGTTGGCTGCATAGGCTGAGTCAGCTGTAACCAGGCACAGTAATAGTACACTTTGTTTTACAGAGGGGTAAAAGTCTGACTGCCCTGACCTCACAGCCACCACAATAGGCCTGCGTGTTTATTCAGAACTTTGAAATTCACCTTTATCAGTTTCTTTCTGTTTGAACAATGAGCCCTGCTGTGTTCAATGGGGACTATTTCTGTCCGGACATGTCACCATTGCCACTTTCTGGAATTGGTGAAGGATTCAACAGGCGTGACTTCAGATGTGCCAATCATGTGCTGTTTCTGTGTGGGTGGCACTTACAGACAATCATTAATGATCTCAAAAGTGTACCAACCCTTGGGCTAACAACGATAAAAATAAATTCACTTTTCATTTTCTAAAATTTAACACAGCGGCCCTGCAGTCTCACTACAGGGTTAGGGGGCAATTCAATTAAATTTGAATTGAGATCCAGATTCAGTCATGTCTAACTGTTAATGACGAGTTGAGTTTTTCCCTCAAACAGAAAATATTCTGTTCCACCTTGTGATGTCGTGTGGTAATACTCCAATAATCCATAGTGTTTTTAAACTCCATATAACTTCTGTAGAATCATTTGGATGATTTCAATCCTGGAATTGCCAATCTCTACTGAGCAAAAGGTAAGACGTACTACTACTTCATGACATCACAAGGTGGAACAGAGCATTTTGAGCTTTGAAGATGATGACAGACCAATAACAAAGGGTTACTCAAACATGTGTGAATGAAACAAAACACAACTCCAAGTATGTTTTTGATGAGGTAACATTATAACAAGCTCACAAGTCAAGTTTTCCTAATATAGGACCTTTAAATTATGCTATTTAAATTTACTACAGACTCACCCACAGCCCTTTTTACCACAAACCCATAAGATAACTGTGGATCACATTTTAGTGCAGGTATCTCTTCTTATTAAAGTGTTAAAATAAAGCTCTGTTTGTATGTTCTAGGCATCAAATCTACCAAAACAAAATATCTGAAAATTTAAGGCTGATAGCTGATATGCAAAAAAGTCAAAATATTTGCCCGATATATAAGCCAAGTGATGTATCGGTCTATCTCTACTTAGACTTAGATAGACTTTATTGATCCACAAGGGAAATTACTTAACTTATAAATTGAGAAGTTTACAGCCTATCCTCTGTGAGTAAAAGCATGCTGTTCGGAGCAGAGTGCAAACTTTGGAGGAATACATTTGAGTTAAATGGCACTGAAATTGAATTGCTTTGTTTATCATCATGAAATCAATACTTACAGCCATTTTTATTGTTTTTGAGAGGGAAAAAAACTGAGCCAAAAATCAAGATAGATTAATAAGAGGAGAGGGAAAAATGGCTGCATGGTGCCCTCTTGGTTGATTAATTGTCCCGGCAGATGACTTTGGGGTTGTTTTGGTGTCTGCGCTGGTAGTGCTTATCCTGGGTGGCCTTCTTTTGCCCTCTGCTTGTCCTGGTTAGCACTAGCGAGTGGCACAGATTTGCAGATACCCCATCAAGATCTGTTCAACCCTCATTAAACCACTGGGTCTTGATGTGGTCTCTGTATGTGTGTGCATGACTGGCCTGACCTAGATTGAGAATTGATGCCTCTGATCCCTGATTGGATTTAACTGCACCCCAAAACATACAATATAATTAATATCTAGCCATGCCAGCTAACAATGTGTACTTTCATCTCCCAGACCCAGATACAGCAACATTTGATTAGCTACAGAGTTTTTACAAGTGCTTACATTTTTCCCATAGATATTTTTGTCAAATCCAGATAAAGAGCCTAACTTTCTATGTGACCACAATAATAATAATAATAATAATATAATAATAATAATAATAATAATGCATCTGTTTTATATAGCACTTTTCTGGACACTCAAAGACTTTACAGAGCATTATTCATTCAATCACGCACACACCACTTTCATACTAGGCAATGTGGGTAAAGTGTCTTGCCTACGGACACAACAGCAGTTTTTGCGACTGGTGCCCCATTGTGGCTCCTGATTTTCCCAGTGGTCTCCCGTCCAAGCAGTAACCAGGCCCACCCTTGGTTAGCTTCTGAGATCTGACGGGATCAGACTTATACAAGCTGGTATGGCCAACTTCTATCCAAAATGACTTATTTTTTTTGTCCAAAACACCTGAAATGAAAACGAAATCTAACTTTTATTTATTTATTTTATTTAATGGTGTGGCCGTTATGCTGTACAAAAAGGGAAGAGCTAATTTCTCTGTGGTTGGCCAGAACTAAACTGAACTGAAATGGTATCGTCTAAAAGCTCCAATGACTTTGCCTCTCCCTCAGGTCACGATCAGGGTTACTAGCACATCTCATTAACTTGCACAAGCCTTTTTCTTTCACACTTGTTTTGTTTGAAATGTTAGGTACTGTTATGATCACTGCAGGCAATGTAACATGATTGACAGGGCTGCCAAAGGGTGAACCCCATGTGGCCGTGGGAGGTACATGTAACAAAGCAAAATGTGTCATTGTTACTGTTAATGGGCCTTACTTTGTCTTGGGTGTTGCTGCTTAATAATTGCACCAACATGGCAGCAAGAATCAAAGACAATGTTGAAATGATTTCTCAAAGTTTACATTGAATTTCACAAATACGTTTAGTACTGATGATTTTTCCTCATATATTATGTACCTACAAGTAGTGATGGGCAGATTGTACCAACTGAGGAATAAAAAAGTTAATACATTTTTGTGCCAAAATGTTTGTTGTTTATCTTGATAGATAAAATAATTTTCAAATTGGGGTCAAATAAAACTATGAAAAATAAAATCATTATAGCAGAAGAGTATCAGTGCATTTTAAGACTAAACTCATTGATATTGGCATTGGATTGATATCACAATGCTTTCCATAGTATTACTTGGTATCAGATCAAATCTAAAATTACTGGTGTTGCCCATCATTACTTATAAGTGCTGATGTTCCAGTTAGCAGGAGTTTTATGCCCGGAAAAGCAGAGTACATTACATTGATGATAGCGGCTAAGAGCACACTCGTATCACTTCCTGTTTGAGTGCCATTGCCACGTTTCCCACACGGCCAGAAGGTCATCACTAATGCTGCCGGTGCTGCATGTGCTTCTAATCTCCAGCTCTCTCTCTTGTGTCCTCTTTAGTCACGGCGCTGCTGAGGAAGCTGAAGCAGCAGTCCAGGGAGAGCGTGGAGGACAAGCGGCCCAAGCTGCTCACAGCTCTTAAAGAAGTATGCTACTTAGATGCTTTCAACTATGACTTTAATGTGAACTTAAGCTTTTATTAATGCACAATATTCAGTTCACGCGGTTGTCTGTCAAAGCTGAGCTAAAATATTTCTGCTTTTTGCACACGTCACTGGTATACTGCTTTAAGCAAAGTGCACATAGTACATATGGAAGTGAATGTTGTCTAAGACTAATAAGGTGCAGGCTATAGTGTATCTTACCTTGTTTTCCCGAGACACATGAACTTCTCCTGATATAACATGTAGACTGAACGTTGAACTTCACAGATATAGTTGGCATGACTCTCACATCTCACCCAGCTCCCACTGACATTAGGTGGGTTACACAAAGTGCTTTAGATGCATTCAAGATCTTCAAATCACTATTATAATAATTATCGTTGTTTTATTTGTTTAGTCGGGACAGTGTGTGTTAATGGACATACATGATATATACATACTGTAAACATGCCAGATTGTAGCCATGGGCTAATTTCCATCTGATGTCCCACTTTCAGCCTCACAAACAAACTCATGTCTTTCTCATGGGGACAGAAAGCCAGAGAACAGGGAACCCACACATGACATGGACTGCGGTCGAAACATACTGTAGGGTGTATTTAATGTGAGAGCTACATGTTATTAAGGTGTTAGAGGTGTTCTGCTACTATCCACAAACTTGTGTGTGTGTGTGTGTGTGTGTGTGTGTGTGTGTGTGTGCGTGTGTGCGTGTGTGCGTGTGTGCGTGTGTGCGTGTGTGCGCGTGCGCGTGCGCGTGCGTGTATAAAAGAGTGCACTCCCAATTACAGAAATGCTTCTCTAAAGTTTAAAGTTAGCGAAGTTGTGTTGTGGCATCATATAACACATGTTCCTTCAGGTCAGTTGAGCATCACCACCACCCCCACAATATTGCAAAGGAAACTGCAGATGAAACTTTTAATAGTCATTTTGAAAGAAACTTTTCAGACCTGTGGGATTAACCGTGGGTAGCTTTGTCTAAATGGCGAAAGTAGCCACAGTAGTTGTTTCAGTTTTCAGGTTTTCCTTTTGTTTTCAGTATTGGAGATTTTTGATTTATGAGTCATACAAGGCAGCACAGAACTTTTTTAAAATAGCCCTTTAAATCTTCTGCAAAATCCCAGTGAATCGCCTCATTCAGTGTCTGTAAAATGTGATAATCACTCTTTGCCTTGAGTATTGGCCATGCTTTGTGAGTGCTGGTGTAGTGCAGATCCCCACCCTGCAGGTCTCTTCTTACGCCGTAACTCACCACATAATTGGACTGTATTGAGCTGTGGCAGTCAGCCGTGGTCCGTTTTAAGCACTTCACTTCAGACTTGAGCTGCTGCTGAAGCTGTACTTTCACTTAAGCCTAAAAGAGTAATTTAATGCTGTAATATTTAAGAAACTGGGTACTTCTTTTGCACAACATTAATTATTACTTTCATTTTGTAGAGTGCCTAATATATTGAATACTGTGTTTTATTGTTTTCCATTACAGCTTGGAGACTTTTATTTGGAGCTCCACTGGGACTTTCAAAGTTGGGGTGAGTTTTAGGTCTCAGGTTCAACAATGTGACTACAATACATGACGTAATATGTGAAATATATGTACATTTGTATGTTTTATCTGGTGTATATTGTTTGCATCTCTTCATATATACTTCTGTTTATAAAGGATGGCATGAGGTTTAGATAAGATGGCAAATATCGCCCAATACTAATTTAGATCATTGCAAAGCTCAAGAGGAAAAATTAAGTATGTATTACAGTCAAATCATATACAGTAAAAGCACCACTTCCACTCCCAAAGTTGCAAAGTGATGGAGTAGTTGATAGTAACATAGCCTACAATATTTTGGGCTATTTCGCTTCTCTAACGGCTACTGAATTGTCCTTGTTGATAAGAGATTGTGATAAAATATTGCAAAAATTACGCTACAGGAAATTAGTTGGAATTCATCACTGTCTAGACTCACCTTTTGTGTTCTGTGAAGGACTTGAACATCTCCTGTGTTTTTGACTTTGAAATGACATTCAGTGAGGCTTTTACATATGTCAATACACTACATATCCTGTGCTGTTAATGTACAGCGGTTATAATGGGCCAGAATAGGCATATTATATGACCTGACATACAATGCCCATATGCAGACAGCCATTCACTGGAAACTCATTCACCTATGAGTTTGCCTCAGTTTTTGCCATAGGTTTGTACAAAGACTATGGAGGCATAATTGATCCATATTTGTATATTTTTTTCAATACAGTGTTTTGATGTATAAGTGAAGTATGTGTAAGTGTAAAAATGTCACTACTAATTTTCCGATTAGACGATTTTAGACTATTGGGATGGAAATTAGACTATGGGGGAACCACCATAGTCTCCTTAATGGGGAGCAATGCTTACCTAGTCTGCTACAGTCTACTAAATAATATATAATAGGAGAGGGCAAATAGAACTGTGCAAGTAATCAATTTTTTATAGAAATCGAGATACAATCATTTGCAATTGCCAGTGATCGGCTCGGGTCTTTTTAATGGAGAGGTCCACGGAATCTGTCAGTAAAAGCATGTGGTGTGGAGTTCATAGTTCAGACTTTATATAAAGAAAGTGAAAGTGAATGGTAGTGATTAAAAGTCTGTATAGATTATGTTCAGGAATATGTTCATGTCTTTTAATAAGTTTACTAAAACTGATTTGAAAATTACCAATCTATCTGAAAAAGAAATAATTCTGGTTCATTTTTGGTCACATCGCCCAGGCTTGATGTAGTATATTATTTTGGTGATTTCTAATAGTTTAGTAAAAATCCTATTTAATCCGACAGCATCACATGGTTATTTGGAAAAAATCCATGTTTTCCTTAAGGTCTTATACTCGTTATGCTCCACTGGGCTTACTTAAATTTAGCTTCTTGACTAAATCACTTTGTACTGTTAAATCTGTTTTGGTTCAATTTAGTAATGCCTGAGGACAACTTAGAGTTCGTTCAAATTAGTCACGCTATGTGCTATATGAAATATTGAGGATGTTTTCTGTATCTTGTATAGCAAGTCCTGTACATACCTCTGCAGTCCTAATGTTGTTAAAGCAATAGTTGGTCTTCACTACTGGCCAGGATTTCAAAATTTTAAGTTTGATCTGTGATGTTTCTTCTTATGTCTTTATCTTTTTAATCACAGTGCCTTTGCTGTCCCGAATACTGCCATCGGATGCATGCAAGATCTACAAGCAAGGAATTAACATCAGGCAAGTTACAGCAACAAATGTACCTTTAGGAATACTTTACTGGGAGATCGTTGCCAGCAATTATCATAAAAGCTTTTATAGCAGTATCTTGTGGCAACCTCACATCGTGTTTTCTTTTATCTTTGCTTTTTTACTACCTCTGTCCTCACCTTCTTTAGTGAACCAGAGTGTGAAATCTGCACAGGCACTTTGCAATGGCAGTTATTTAAAAATAGAATAGGCTACATCCAGGTTGAAAAGTTTAAATGTTTTATTAAAGAATCAGAATCTGATACCTGCACTACTTTATAATGAAAGAATTATGCCCAGCACAACAATTGGTTTACAATCAATAAATCACAATAATGTTTCAAATTTTGTTTAAAAAGCCTATATTACGCTGTTTTGTGAGCTATGTTCTAATGTCATTTCCTCATCAAAAACATACCAGGTGTTTTGTTTCATTTACCGGTACACATTTTTAACACATAAATCTCTCATATTTATGCAGTGTTTTTCTCTCAAAATGAAAACATTCCCATCTTGTGATGGCATGTGATAATACAGGAAGTGTATTTGTGTTTTTAAACTCCACACACCTTCACTAGAATCATTTTGCTCATTTTGACCCAGGAATTGCCAATCTCTACTAAACAAAAGGTTAAATGTAGCTGCTAATTTGAAAACTCACAAGGTGAAACAGAGCATTTTTAGCTTTGGAAATGTGGACAGACTAATAATAAAAGATTTCTCAAACATGTGTGAATGAAACTAAACACAACTCTGGGTTGTGTTTAGTTCTAACATGGCTTAAAGCTCATAAGACAGAATTTTAGGACCTTTAATCTGTATTGTAATTAGGGATGGGCATGATTAGTCCATGATGATCATTTTAATATAAAAACG